CCGGCATTCGGCGGGGTCTGGGGGTCCCCTGCCCAGGCCTGATGCCTGGGTCAGAGGCATCAGGCCTGGGTTGGAGGTGGAGCTGGTGATGGGGGATATGAGGGTCTTTTGCCCAGGCGGAGGCGTCAGGCCTGGGCAAGGGGCCGATCTGGCAATCGGAGGGGTCTGGGCATCAGGCCTGGGTGGGCATCAGAGGGAGATGGGGGTCCCCTGCCCAGGCCTGAAGCCTGGACTAGAGGCGTCAGACCTGGGCGGGGGGCAGAGCCAGCAATCGGAGGGATCTGTGGGTCCCCTGCCCAGGCCTGACGCCTGGACCAGAGGCATCATGCCTGGGCTGGGGGCAGAACCAATGATGGGGGGAAATGAAGGTCCCCTGCCCAGGCCTGACACCTTTGTCAGAGGCGTCAGGCCTGGGCAAGGGGCCGATCCTGCGATTGGAGGGTGATGGGGGTCAACGTCTGAGGGCTCCCAGTATGTGAGAGGGGGCAGGCTAGGCTGAGGGACACTCCCCCACCCCACACACCCAGTGCACAAATTTCGTGCACCGGGCCCCTAGTAATATTAATAGGTAATTGGCTTGTAGGTGTTTTAGAACTCCTACAAACATCCTAATCGTATGTGTTTGTGATTTTTCCTTTTATTAATACCTTTGCCACATCTTAGCGAACCACAAGCTTTGTGACTTAGTATTCATTGCTTGCACCCTCTCATCATTCAGCCTTGCCCCATCATTCCTTACCTCTCACCAGGTCCCTTCACCCACTCCTAATGGCTCAGCTCTCTGGATGCTCCTCCACCAGTGTTTTGCCAGCTGGCCAGGAAGTAGCTGAATGTGATATGTGACTCTTTGAGGTTTAGAATCTGATGAATCTTAACTACCAAGTCCTTCTTTTGCTACGTAGTAGTCTTATCCTTGTTATCATAACCTCACCCATTGGCTAATTTCCATCCTAAGGCCTCATCCATACAACCCAGCTATATTGCTTGTTGGCTCAGAGCAGATTCTGTGTGTTGCTGGGAGTACGATGGTGAATAAGGCAGCTTAGAAGCAGAGCTGTACTGAACCATGCCTAGAATGTCAGGCCCAGACCAAGGCTTTCTCTCTGGCTTTCAGGCCTAATCCAAGCACTAGTTGGAGCTTTGAATTTTGATGAGACTCAGTGTCCTCAGAGAGTCTTAGGGGGCTGAGTAATTGAGTTCATGAAGCTCAACGTAGACAGACTGCGGGGTACCAGCTGCCATCATATCCAGCTCATTGTCTAAAAGACTTGTGTTCCTGGGAGTAGTGTCAGGGTGACAGCTGTAGGGGCGAGAGCTGTCCGCTTTTTAGGAAGATGTGATCTGAATCCACTGATCCCGTTATCATCATGCTGCCCTCCATTCCTCCTCCACTGCTACTCACCCTCTATCTGAGTACCAGTAATTCATCCCCACAGAAATATTGGGGATTTCTTTTCAAAGCTTTATCACCTTGACACTACACACCACTGAGCACTTTATATGTATGTGTTCCTCACACTTTCATGATTATGAAAGGTCATCATTTTAAGAAAGAGTTGTCAGCTACTCTCTATTTTGCTTAGATTATAATCAAAGGGAAGGGACTTACCTTGTCCTGCCAGGAAGAAGTTTGTTTGTTTGTTGTCTGTTTTCCCCAGGAAGAATTTTAGGAATAAATAAGAACATTTTAGCAGGGATGATTTAGAATAGTTTACAGGTAATTTTGATTATACATACAAACTTTTCTATTGGCCAGTTTGTTATTTTCCATGAGTGATGTATTGATACCACTTGCCTGTTTGTTTTCACTAGAGAGTGGGCAGGAACCCTTGGAGTGTGGAGCGTGTTTCCTTGGATGTCTAACTCTAGTTCATGGTATGAGGAAAGAGGGCATTGAGGTGTATTATTTAATTTTAGATTTGAGGATTGCCTGGCTTTTTCATTTGTCTACTGCCTAGTCTTTCTTCACATTATTCAGATAATTAGAAATTGTTGCTATTCTCAGATAGTATTGTCTTTTCCATTTTTTGAAGGTAGGGGTTTTTGTCTCTTTTGTTCTGCTGTAATGCCAGTGCCTGAAACGCAGTAGATGCTCAATAAATACGTGCTGAAGAGGTGAATCAGTGGGAAATTTCAGACCAGAAACAATGTTAGATAAATCTTTGGGGAATCCTGCTGTGCTGAGTCCTGGATCTTGTAGGTCATCTGTTGTAATGGCATGTGGGGCCATCATGTTCCTATGGGGGCATGTTCTTATTTCAGCTAGTGGTGGTCCTGGCAGGTCTAGTGTGGTTGGTTTAGGTATGCAGCATGTTGATAAGCACTGCATTGGAATCCGCCACCATCACAGAGCCTTTTGGTCTATTTCAAACTATTCTGCAACATTTGTAGGCATAGCAGTAGCCCTGATGGACAATTGGACTTTTGGAGAAAAGGACCATATTATTGCATTATCAATACTTAGACGAACACTGTCTTAAGGACTTAAGGAAATTGTTGTTATTATAGGTATACTAGAGGCCCGGTGCACAAATTCATGCACAGGTGGGATCCCTCAGGGTGGCCTGCAGGGATCGGGCTCGCAGCCCCAGCTCCTGCCCCCAGCCCTGCAGCCCTGCAGCCCTGCCTGGCACCTCGCCATGGCCTGGTGCCGCCCCTTCACCTGCTCCACCATCCTGCCTGCAGGGCAATCAGTTGGGGCCAAGGGGGCCCTCCACCCGGCTCTGTCAGTGCCTGGGTGCAAGGCAGCAGTCCCGCCCCCACTCCGTCACCGTCTGCGGGGTGATCGATAGGTTGATGGAGCCCCTGCTCACCTCCTCCACCATCCCACTGTGGTCTCGCTCTCTCTTGTTGGGGCCCATCAGGGCCTGCAGCACCTCCATTGCCACCCACTGCCAGCACACCGTCACCTACGCTCGCCATGTTTCGCGCTGCCCCCTGGTGGTCAGCACACGTCATAGTGAGCAGTAGAACTCCCTGTCTTTCGGTCAAACGACTGCCTGAGTGGACAATTTGCATATTAGGCCTTTATTATATAGGATATCAGATATATAAAGTTTTAACTAGTACATTTGAGTTTGTATTTCCAACTGATTCATAATGCCAGTTTGCTTACATAAGAAGTAGCCAAAGGGTTTCTGCTATTGAAACCAAAGATACAAACTAAAAATAGCTGGCTGTCATTTACTGAGTCTACGTTGTATCTTGGGTTCTAGGTTAAGTACTTTATACATAATATCTCAGTAGATACGCAAAAGAATCCAGTCTGGAAAACATGCTGTCCTCATTTTACAAATGAGAAATGGAGACTGAGGGATAAAATAACACCTCTGGGATCTCTGAGGAGATGCCTCTGACCAGAGCCTGTTTCTTTAACCACTACACTGTGTTCACGCTTCCCGTACTAGCCCTCTAGAGTGCCACTGACAAACAGGCAATGAAGATCAAGGTTGCCCATATAGCCCAAAGGTCGTAGAGTGATGGCAATTATTTGGTTAATGTTAATATTATAGGCAGCTGAATACTTTGAATCAGGATTTATTCTGTTCCATTTGAGGTGTTTTTTTTTTTATTGTGGTAAAATATATATAGCAAAATTAACCATTTAAGTATGTAATTCTCCACTTTGATTTTTAAAAAAATAATTTACATTAACAATTATAAAATCTCCTTTACTGTATAGCCAAGTGAAATATTTGCATTCCAGGCTGGGAGGAGGGAGGATAGAGGATATTACTTTTTGCCATTTAAACAATAATACATATTTTTCTGGTTATCAAAAGGTTACGTGTAGTATAGGAAACTTTGAAAATCCCAAGAAATTATCCAAAATTTCACCTCTCTGAGATAGTTTCTGTTAAAATTTCATTGTTTCCTGGGTTCTTTTATCTATGTGTCTATGTGTGTTTTATATGATTTATTTTTATATTTATTTACCAAGCTGGAAACCAGCCCTGAAGTACTTTGCCTACCATGTTAAGAAATTTTAATTTAAATATGAGTCCAGTGGAGAGGTCTCAATAAAGTGCTAACTCTAGTGTCCTTATGGAGAATGGATTAGAGGGGGTTAAGAATGAAAGCAGATACCAATGAAAGACTCTGATACTAATCCAGGTAAAAGCTAATTGCTGAGAATATAATAAATGCCATTCGTGTGTGTGAGGCAGGGGTGTCATATTCGGGAACCGCTGAGGTTGTTGGGCCTGCAGGACCGGCTGACTGTGAAGGAGAGTACTCGCAGGGCCCGCTTGGGCTGGCTGGCAGGATTGTGTCGCCCTTCATCAAAACGAGAGCACAAGAAGGGAGGGAAAGTTCTCAGTGACCACAGAGGACATTTGGGAAATGATGCCCAATTAGTTGTCACATCTGACCCCCATTTGTCTATCTCTTTGGCCACATCTGTATGCTCTTCTCCAATGGGATCTGCGCACTTTTGCCAAACTGACTTTCTTTCACTCAATCCCGTGGATTCTGGGCCTTCCTGGTCAGCAGGATATTTATAACATTTCTCCTATGTGCCAGGTACTCTCCACCCCAGCCTCACACCTTTGCCCAGTCCAGGTCTACTCAGTCCTCAGAACTTGTCTTTAATGTCATTTTCTCAGGGAAGCCTTCCCTAACCACCCCAGCCCATCAACCAGATTAGATTAGCATTTGTACTGAGCTCCTACTACTTCATAGCAATGATCAATATTATAATTGCATAATTATTGGTTTATTGTTTTCATGAGCAGAGGAGGCCTTGTCTATCTTGTTCACTGTTGGTAATACTTAGTGTAGTATCAGGCACATAGTAGGTATCTACTAAATATTTGTTGAATGGGTGGGTGGATCTAGCACTTTATACAGAAGTGTGGTCTGTGATATAGATTTTGGAATATTAGTATACAGGTATCAGTTGAAACACTTAGAAGATAAACTCCTTAGAAACACCAGCCATGGGGTCTTTAAAAATATGATGACAATGCCTTTCATTAAACTTGCATAACAAATGTATTATATTTTAAATGCCTGTGATTTATTTCGGCAGATAGTGACATTTTGATCAGCCTATATAAAAAGACATAATTTTAAAGTGGTATGGTTACAATCTTAGCGTAGGAGTAAGAAGCAAGGCAATTTCTACTTGAATAAAAAAGTGCACAACAGAAGTGATTGCCTCTTCCTCTCAGTGCTGTCTCTGTTTTAACTTAAACACTCTCTCAGCTCCAGTTTAGTGCCGATTCTTATCATAGGTAGTCAGGTGGAAAGGGTGTATCATCTTTACCATAATCACTAATTCATTAAAGGTTAACAGTGAAAATGTTAACAGAGTATTTAATTACCTGGTGAGGCAATGGGAGAATTTATTTATTTATTTTTGCTTCTTCATACTTTAAAATATTATAAAGTATTTTATTAAGACCAAAAAAGCCACAAACAAAAGCTTTCTGGAGGGGAGGAGTACACTTACATTATATTTTATAACTTTAAATACATACTGTACTAAATAAAGATCTGTTTTTCTCCTATAGGGAATCATGCTGGTCTATGACATCACAAATGAAAAATCCTTCGACAATATTAAAAATTGGATAAGAAACATTGAAGAGGTAAAATGGAAAGAGAATGGTGGTACTGGAGATCATCATGATGATACTGGAATGAGGATACCTGCTGGGTGCTTATAAAGGCCGCCTGTCTCAGGAAGAGGCAGTTGAGCTGCTAAGAAGTAGGGCATGGGCAGGGCAGGCGCTCGCTTAGCGTGCCATGGAGGGCGAGATCTCCATCTGCAGTCTGACTGCCCTGCTGGACCTGGATGGGGGATGGAGGCAGATGGTGGAGCAGTTTCACAGAATTTTAAACTTGGGCCAGATATTAGAAGTAATTTTATCTGAGTCCCCATTTTACACAAGAGAAAACTGAGGCCAGAAAGAAGTGACTTGCTTATGCTAATACAGCCTTTAAAAAGGAGAGCAGGATTAGAACATCTGATTCCTGGGTTCTATCTGGTTCATCATCTGATTGACTGGCAAAAGTTTATCTTTATTCCAGCAACTTATCGTTTTGCCCTTCTAACATTTTCTCCATCTTCGATATTTGAAGTTTGGTTTAATTCTAGATTGATTAGCATTAAGATATTATATTATTTTTGATATTTCAAAAAGAAATCTGACTCAGAAATAATTTTGTACACGATTATTTTAACCTACATGAATTTATTTTTTAAGTAATTCAGAATCCAGAATACCTTCTCCGTTGGCTCACTCAGGACCAAGTTTTTTTTTCTTCTTGATCCAAACTAACATTTGGAAGTTTTGTTGTTAAATAACCATAAGTTTTATTTCTGTTCATGTACCAAAAGACATGAGAATGGCTGTGAGCCTTTGGGAAGAAAGTTTGCATAGTCTTTTTTCCTGTAGCTTTCCCCGTCCTCCCATCTTTTAAAATTTGCTCTGAATCATGTGTCCAGTGAAAGGTGATTAGCCTAATTATTAGATTCATGGGTATGTTTCTAATAGGCTAGGATTTGGCTATTGAATAACTGGCTTTTTCAGGCTGTTTTTATAACCTTCTGTTTTCTTCCTACAGCATGCCTCTTTAGACGTGGAAAGAATGATCCTGGGTAACAAATGCGATATGAATGACAAAAGACAAGTGTCAAAAGAAAGAGGGGAGAAGGTAAATTTGAACTGAATGCATAAAGATTCAAATCTACTCACATTAAGCATTTATTTTCTTAGTATAATTATTGATTTAAGTGCTTAAAATATCTATATTTTAATCCTTTAAAAACAACAAAGAGATATAATCCATACTTGAATGGTACGAATTAGTATTCGAGATCCAACTCTATATACTGTGTAGTCATGACTCATTCCTAAAGAATTTGCTCTTTTCCGGGAGATACAAATTGGTTCTTTTTCAGATTCCTGCAGCTTAAAGTTCAGGTTCTTTCTTCCATGTCTATAAGTTAAAGTAATTTATTCCCTTTGGAAAAAATTAATAGGATAGGCGAAGTTCAACAGTAATCATTCTCTAATTCATTTTTTAAAGAATATTGTACTACACATTAAATTTAGGTCATTGTGATTAACTCCTTATAGCTCATCAAGCTGTGGATGTCATGTTATTAGTCATTTATAGGCATTGCTCTGTTTTGTGTCATGCAAAGCAAAGGAGTTTATTATATGTACATGTTTACTTCTGTGACATTTTTAAAATTGATGCAGAAGCTTCAGTTTTTAAGTCTGGTAATTTTGTTTTAGCCGTGTGTGTGTGTGTGTGTGTGTGTGTGCGCGCGCGTGCGTGTGCGTGTGCGTGTGTGTGTGCGCGCGCGCGCGCGTACTTTGAATCTGAAACTTTTTTTACCTAAAAACATTCTCTTAATCTTGTTGTTATAAATGAACTGGGAACTCTTTGGGAGTAGATGGAAATATGGAAGAGTTCACATTTGTCACAATCAATAGAAACCAAAGCAATGAATACTTAGCATTTTAAACTTTTCTGTTAAGTGCCAATTTATTTATTTATTTATTTATTTAATATATTTTATTGATTTTTTTACAGAGAGGAAGGGAGAGGGATAGAGAGTTAGAAACATTGATGAGAGAGAAACATCGATCAGCTGCCTCTTGCACACCCCCTACTGGGTATGTGCCTTTGACCGGAATCGAACCTGGGACCCTTGAGTCCACAGGCCAATGCTCTATCCACTGAGCCAAACTGGTTAGGGCAAGCGCCAATTTATTAAAAAAATAATGAAAAATCAGTGTAGTCACTGTTGGAGAATTGTACTTTCAGAACAGATAAAAGGGGTGAATGAAGCCCAAATTAATGGTAGGGGGTGAGCGTCTGTCACAGTCTTTCCTGTAAGTATAGAGAACTAAAAGTATAATAGGAAAAAAGAGAAGTACTGTATTAAATTGTGAGTGGAAGTGGTGCCATGTTGCTTATGATGATTAAGTTAGATCTCAATTCAAACACAGAAGGAAGCAAAGAGATTTCAGAACCACGAGAGTTCTTAACTAGATAGACCTTTGGGACTTTGAAAATCCTAGAAAATATAAATGCTTTATATGTTCAAGTAACTTGCACTATATTTAAATGTTTCTGTTTGCCTTTCAGTTAGCAATTGACTATGGGATTAAATTCTTGGAGACAAGTGCAAAATCCAGTACAAATGTAGAAGAGGTAAGAAAGAAAGACAGGCGTGGTGACTCGTCATATAGTAGCACTAGTGCTTATCTGCCTATGTTCAAGCGATTCTCAAAGCCTTGTTATTTTCTGACTCAGTGATGCCTGTGTGAACTCCACCTCCACGTTGTGAACTGCTGTGCTTCTGACTTTTATGTGGACCTGGGTGTTGAATTTCTAGCACCAACCTCCACAAAGAATATATAGGGTGTCCCAAAAAATGTGTACACACTTTCAATATTTATTAACATACAGTTCATTTAAAAAATTTAAAAGAATCCACAGAACCACAGAAGTGAATAGTGTTTTTTGTCAATGCCTGTTTTCAGACTGATGACTGGTTCTGGTCCAGGCACTGCTGCTAATGCGAAGCAAAGCAATCGCAAACATCAAGAATCATTTTGTTTGTATTTGTGTGCCCTCAATTTGTCAACTGTTGCTTGTTCTGGACTTTAAACTTTATCTTTTATGTGTCCCTATAAAAAAGTCTAGTGGATAGATTTGCTTTGTTCAAAGCTTTGCCCATTATTTCAAATCAGTTAAACTTGAAAAGGAGTGAAAATTGAGTGAGTGACCAGCTGTTCAAATATGTATACATATTTTTGGGACACCCTGCAATCAAACAGAGAAGTGAATGTAAGATTCACTGAACAGAAGATAGATGCTCAGTTTAAGTTCACTTTTGTCCTGTATTTGGGAAGCTGGAAACCCTGCACTAGCTGACCAAATGCAGTGTCTTCCTCTGCTCATTCATCATCGTTCATGTCATCCTGTAGTGGCCTATAGCAGGCGAATCTTAATTACTTTCCTGTGTGTATGAAGGGGGGGGGGGAGAATTAAACTGTTAGATTATTGAACGGATTCCCTTAATGTACATGTTTAAGTAGATGATATATATAATATATTGTACTACGATGGCATTTGATAGAAGTAAGAAAGTGTGTTTACCAGAGAGTACTTTAATAAATTTTTAGTAAGTTAACTGTTAAAGAAAATCTAACCATCTAAAGTCTTCTAAGAATAGATTTTCTTTACCAAGGGAAGAATTTCTGATAATATTTTTGTTGTTGTTGTTAATCCTCACCCAAGGATATTTTGTCATTGATTTTTAGAGAGAGTAGAAGGGAAGGGGATGGGGGAGAGAGAGAGGGAGAAACGTCCTTGTGAGAGAGAGACATCAATTGGTTGCCTCCCAACCCTGACTGGGGCCGGGGAGCGAACCTGCAAACCAGGTACGTGCCCTTGAATTGAACCCGAGACCATTCAGTGCGCAGACTGACACTCCAACCATTGAGCAACACCAGCCCGGGTGATAATATTTTCTTTATAAAAACATTTTAAAAACTGGTCATGAAAGTATTACATGTAATATGTTTTAATGTATGTAATTCGCTTAACAGTAATACTGATGATTTCATAAATATTTAATTGCTTAGGCTACTCACTGTTCACCATATCATCAAAGCTAAAAATTGAGGCTTAAATGACTTTATTGGATAGTGGACAATGATAATAACTTTTTTTTTAAATAACTTAAACTCATATTCAGGTTGGCTAATGGGTGTTAGGAAACAGGAACTCTCTACTGATTTATTTAGATCAGCATGGATAAGCAGAAAAATGCTTCCTTCCCCTTGCCACAAAAGGATTTCCTTCCATCAGAAAGAGGGGAACCTCTTAAGTCTGCTCTAATGGTGGAGGCAGGAGCAAAGCTTGCTCACTGAGTTGGCCCACATAGGGTTTCCCCCACGGAATGAACGCAGTACCCTGGCTTACTGGAGTAGGCTGAGGTCTCTGTCAGTGCCTGTGCCCTGATCACACCTGTGGCCTAGAGACAGCATTGAGCTATGGACGTGTAGAGCTGGGAGTTCCCCAGCTGCTTAATCTGGCCCGCTATTCTACAGAAGTTAGCAATTTCCTTAGTGTGGTTGGTTAGTCTCATAAACACTGAGATGGGTTTACTTAGAAATTTAGCCTTACGGGTGACCAGTGTGACAGTAAGACACCGATAGTGAGTGATAATAATAGCTACGTATTGTTCCTGTTTGACTGGATTGGAAATGGTTCTTTTGCTAAATATTTTTGGGGCATCAAGCATGGTTGGGAACAAAGAGACTGGCGTAACAGTGGATTTAGCATAGACACAACTGAAGAAGCTTTAAGTCTTAGCTCCCTAGAAACAAAGTAGGGATGATAGGGTTAAAAAATGTTTGGATTGGATCATGAGACACTAGGCATAAAATGTCACTAAGATGAATCAGAGTTGTCCTACCTGCATTTCAACTGATTTCCATGGTGGGGGGTTTAACTGAGCTGTAGGCACTGTCGGGATTTGGAATGTTAAGGTTATATAAGGTATAAGAGGGAAAGTGATTTGAAAGAGGACATTGGCAATAAAAGACAGAGGTTTTTATAAAAACATTTTAGAGCTACAGGGTAACACATTTGTTCATTCACTGATTAAACAGATATTCAGCACCTTCTAGATCAGGCCCCGTGCCCCACGCTGGGCGTGCAGGGGTAGCTTAGACAGAGCTGCTGCTCCCCAGCTGCTCGGGGTGTACTGAGGAAGCTCTGCATAACTAAACCTGTCATTTTGGAAGCTGGCCAGGTATTATGTGCAGAAAATATTTGACGAATGAATGACAGTTTGATAACAATGGAAAATGTTTGTGATGTAATTGAAAAATAAGATATAATAGTCATGATTACAATTATATTCTCTTCTCAATTAAAAGCTTTAAAGTAATATATTTATAACATAATAGTAAAAATATTTGACATTTCTATTTAAAAATATATTATAAATATATAATAATACAATTTTTTGGTTTATCTTTAGGCATTTTTTACACTTGCACGAGATATAATGACAAAACTCAACAGAAAAATGGTTTGTATCACTTGTAATTTTATTTTCATTATACTGTTTATAAATTTGTGTTATTTATTCTGTGTATTTATCTGATTAAAAGGGTAGCTCTGATTATAATATATGTGAATATATTATATTATATTAACTCTTTTTTTCTTGACTCACATATTCAGCTGGTTGAACTTTGTTTCTAATTTCTGTTTCTTCAGGTTTCATATTTATTTTTTAAAAATATTTTTATTTATTTCAGAAAGGGAGAAAGAGACATAGAAACATCAATGATGAGAATCATTGATAGGCTGCCTCCTGCATGTCCCCTACTGGGTGGGGATCAAGCCTGCAATGCAGGCATGTGCCCTGACTAGGAATTGAACCATGAACTCCTGGTTCATAGGTCTATGCTCAATCACTGAACCACACTGGCCAGACCAGGTTTCTTATTTCTGAACTGCAGCTATTTCAGTTCTTTCATCTGGCTCTTTAAGTGGATTTTCATTGAATTTTGATCCAAATTTTAAAATAATGCACAAATTAAATTTTTGCCATAAAATTGTTTAGTTTTGATTTGACATTTATATTTATACTAGTGGCCCGGTGCACAGAATTCATGCAGAGGGGGGTGTCCCTCAGCCCGCCTGCACCCTCTCCAATCTGGGACCCCCTCAGGGGATGTCCAGCTGCTGGTTTAGGTAAACCGGCTACCCCCAACTGCCCTCCCCTGCCAGCCTGCTTGCCCCCACCTGCCCTCCCCTCCTGGCCTGATCACCCCTAACAGCCTCTGCCTTGGCCCCACCGCCATGGCTTTGTCTGGAAGGATATCCAGAAGGTCTCGCAGTCTAATTAGCATATTACCCTTTTATTAGTATAGATATAATTATGATCTTGAAGTTTGCTTAAATTTGAAATGATCTCAGTGATGAATCCTTAGGACAACCTTGAAAGTTTATTTTAACCTGAAATCTGAATATAATTGTATACCTTATGTTACAAACACTTCTTACCTCTAATAACAAAATTGCCTGTACTGATATCGTAACATTGTTTCCATCATTACCCTTGAAACTTTACACTCCATTAGCAATAATTTTTTTGAACTGGAAATAGGAGCTTCCCAGCTGATATTAATACGTATAAAAGATGCTGTCCTAAAAACATTTTTCTCATCTAAACCCTCCATTTCCAAAGAAACCAGTAACATCAGAGTTCCTCTTCTAATAAAATACTCTACTGAATACACATTTATGATATGGTTTGATATATATTTTTTTTAGATAATTGGGGTCAAACCATTGAACTTTTGTTTTCTTGGTGACTTTATCTTTTGTTTTTTAGAACGACAGCAATTCATCAGGGGCAGGTGGACCAGTGAAAATAACAGAAAACCGATCAAAGAAGACCAGCTTCTTCCGGTGTTCGCTACTTTGATGAACTTTTTCTGAGAGACTGCAGCACACCTAGAGGACCCTTTCCTGCTTCTCTGAAAGCACAGGTCACCCAGCCTCAGAATCACACCGCCAGGCTGCTGCTGAGAGCACCACCCAGCCTAGACCTCTCGACACGAACACCTAGTGGATGCCAGCCACACGGCCTAGCGAGATAACAGGCTCCTTTTTTCAAACATGGAAGCAATGAAATGGAGACACATGCAAGACTTGTTTTTCTCTTTGTTTTATTGCCTTTTGCAGAAGCTGCTATCTTTTCTTTTTCACTTTGCACATCAGTGTTAGCCTTTCCCTGTTATAGCAGTCTTAGACTCTCACATGCACATTTTTGTCTCATAAAGTTCTAGACAAATTTGTGCTTTGGGGATGTTTAAAACAAGAGTAGAACATTTAAAGCAGAGGTCAATATAACTAAAATTAAAGGACATTTGGTTTGATGTTATTAAAGGACATATGGCCAGATGTTATTACATTCATGGCATTTACTTAAGGGCTCTGATTTGTGATTTTCTTAAATAAGTATCATTAAATTCTGATAAAATTTATCTTAAAAATTTATAAAAATGTCCACCTATTCATCATAGGCTGTAATTTTTTTATTTCTTATTGTTTAGCACTTTGCTTCATTCTTGACTTTTTAGCCAGAGTCTGGGTAGCTGAAGAAATCACTTTTCAGTTGATTCCCTCTGCCTAATCTATAAAAACTGCATTTGGAAATGACTTTAATCTCATTTTTCCTGGGGTTCATATTTGCCATCTTTTCCTATGTTTGACCTATTGTAATCAGTCAGTTACCTAAAACATAACATATTTGACCATTGTTGTCTGCTTCTAGTTGTGAATTCTTGAGCTGAAATTTTACGTGGGCAGAGAGATGTACCATTTAGGGTTTTATTTCAGCGTCTAATTGTGGTTCCATCACATTAACATACATGATATATTTTGTCTTAGGTTTACTCCCCAGCTGATTTAGTTGTAATACCCAATTCCTACCACGATTCCTGTGTACAAGAGTTAACAAGAGTTAATTTAGATTTTAAAGCTTACCTAAAGGAAGAGATATGACTTTTTAACATAAATTTAGTAGAAATAGCTCTTGGTAATGGTGAAAATGACTTTTCGTTCTGTTTTTACTTGGGTTTTTAAATAAAATAAGAATAAATAGACTTAGTGCAGCCTCTAGGAAAAGTCTTGCTTTTTCATTAGAGACAATATGAGCAAGGTTTCAGTTTTAAAACAGTGCCCAGAATGGTTGGTTCTACTGTTGAATGTGTAGAACCCGGTTCCATCTGTTCAGGTTTGTTGATAGAGAACTTGGTCCAGTCATCTGGGCTGAAGCCAACCAAAAGCTTAGCTGTCTTTCTCACCAAACCCTGGAACTGGGATACCTTTTGTAGATGAAACCACCACATAGGAAAAGAAAGGGATTTAGTGTTAACTGTGTGCCAAATTAAGGTCATGATGTCATTGCTCTTATCCTAGCCTTCAGTGTCATAACACAGGGGAGTAACAAAGAGGTGATGAAGGAAGTGAATTCTGTTGATAATTATTCCTCCTCTTAGGCCTGTTTTGTTAAACAGAGTTTACCATCATGCTTGAAATTAAGAATTGGAAATGGAAGTGGAAACAGGTTGCTTGTTACCACAGAGAATTCTGCTTCAAATTAAGATGTATCGTAGGATGCCTGAACCATTCAAACTTTTTGAAAACTTATGCACAACTTAGCTATAGCAAATATAAATATTCCAGAGCTATTTTTGATGGGTACACTAAACATTGTTAACAGATTTTTAAAAAACTTACCTATAGGCTTAAAGGCATCTGTTGGTGTCCGAGTTTAATCACGTGGTTCCTTGCATGAAAGTTTGTAAGTCTACCATCTTAAAATTAGATACATCTTTGGAAATAAAAAATAATTTCTTAGAAACATCTTGTATTCACTAATATTCTGAAAAAAATTCCAAGCACTTAAGCTTTCTGGAGGGTAACAAAGTAGTTTCTAAAAGGCAAGTGCTATGACACCATGTATGAATGTAATTCTCTTAGTAATTTACCTCTGACTATTTGGTGTCTTAACACTTTGGTTTATATTATCTCAGGGGTTATCTGCAAACCAAAACTGACATATCCTGTGGTTAGCATTTTTTTTTAAACAATGCTTTGCTTTTGTTTTGTTCTTTCTCTCTTCTTTTGTCTTATATGGATTAATATCTAGTCTCCATGAAATTCCCTTTGAAAGAGCCGTGAAAGCTAGATGAGTCTAAAGGTGCTCTTTGAAGTAGCAGCAATTTGGGGTATATGCTCTGTTGTATATAAACAAATCGTCCTTGCTATTTTCTTACATTTAGTCTTGCTAACTTGTATATAATTTGAGCTAAGACCATAGGAAATTCACCTTCTGCATGGTAAAATGACCCAATAAATATTCCAATTTGCTTAATAATGTACATATAGTGCATTATTTTTTCTATTTGTAGATGAATTTAGTGAGAGATAATTGTCTGTTCCCTGCTGAAACTGAAGAAATCTAGTTTTGTGTGAACATTTCTGTGGCCTCTGGATCAGTACATGAAGATTTCGCAGCAGTACTAGTGGTATTCAGTGGCTGCACTTTATTGTCAGTGTGCTCATTTCTGCCACTGATTGACTAGACCTTTTCAAATAGAGTCTGAGGGAATCAGACAATGGAAATGTGCTGTAACTTAGCAGCATGGAAATCAGTGGATTGTAAAATGTTTCACTGGGAACTGATTTTAGCTCTATTTTACTTCAGACAGATTATAAGAAAACAGCCCACCTGTGCATCCGTTAGGAGGTGCTGCAGGGTTTCTTACTATTTACATGAACATTTTGTGCAGTCTTGATTATACATTTTCAGAAGACTATACTCTTTACTTTGAAGGACTATTTTTTATTATACCTCATTTAGCTAACTAGTGTTCTAATACCCGGTAGAAAACCAGTGAGCCAGCCTTTATGCATCCAACACAATTTAGATTATATGTTTTGTTTTGAACTAAAGGCATCATTGGGAAAGGTAGGAGGTAGTTTAGAATAGAAATACATGTCATAGCCAATAGTGCAAAAAAGAAGTATTATCTCCCTATCTCCATTAATAAATTTAGCTGTGCAATATAGATAAATGTTTGCAGAAATTTCTAATAAGAGATTATAACTCCATTGTACAGGTTCTAATGCTGGGAATCTGTACTAAGGCTTATATAAAGTTTTTCCTGTGAACTGTAAGTGATACATTTAAGCAGACTTTCTTTTCTAGTTTATGACTTAGACTTCTTTATAAATTTAGTTCTTAATCTTTAAAGATGAGCTTCTAAGCTTAAAATTTTAAAACAGCACTTCATTATGTTGGTGTACTTGTGTCAGATTGTAAGCAGTCTTTTCTGCTGGCAGGTTTTATAGTTTTTCTTTTAACAGAAAGTACATTCCTTTTTCCTTCTTGTTATAGCTAAAGACGGGGGAAAGGAATGTCTAAAAATGAAATTCCCTGTCCTAGCGAAACCTAGAGAGACAGGATATGCTAATAAAATTTCAAATGCTAGCACAATTTTACAATAGAATTGGTCTTTTAAAAAAGACTAATAAAATGGATGAGTGTCAAGCTCACTATGAAAAAAAAATCTAAGTGACTGAAATTTACAGAAATAAAAAATTAGCAAACAATTATTTTAGGGATATTTTCAAATTTTACTTCGTTTTTTTTAAAATAACTTATACCATATGCAATTGCATTTCGTATTGCCAACAACTAATAGAACTTGTTTCATTTTCTTACATTTTTTAAAAATGTGAACTTACTAGAATTCATTTCTGTGGCCTTACAGATGGGTTTTTATTTTGTTTGCAGCAGTTCCTTTAATGCAAAATACCATTACTCTTTTACTAAAATCATGCCCCCTAATGGAAAAATATCTAGTTTTTCCATAGAATTATCCCACTGCATATGTATTGGTGTTTTTATTTTTGCTCCAACGGCTTAATGTGAAAAGCTCCTGCAGATAAAGTGAGCCTGTCATGTGGTTAGTCTTGTTTAAGCCAATTCATTAACTGTGTACTGATACTGTTGCTGTGTTTTTGTTGTTTTTTTAAGTGGATTTTATTCCAGGTGAACTTTTTTTATAATAATGTTCGTCTAAAATAAAAACTACATAATGAAAATATTCATGACTCTCTGAAATGGGTTGCAGATTCTGAAAATTTTTCTTCGAATTTATAGGTGTGTGACTCAAACCGTGGCTGGCTTGGGATATTTTAGCAAACTTTCTCACTTAGAGCTGCTTAAAATGGCCAGATCTCCTGCTCATACTTAGTTCAGAATACATTGAGATTATTCTGTGATAGCACTCCAGCCCTCCCTTCTTAGTCCTTGCACGTTTACTTCTTGTTGTTTTGTTTTCACTTCCAAATAACACGGTTCCAGGGCCCAGCCCTACTGATGTTCTCCCGCGTGCTTGCGCACGTCTCCAGTCGTAGCCTTTCCTGCTCATCCCCACAACCACCCCAGACCTTCATTATTCTTCTCACACACCCTACTTCTTTCCTTCCCTCTGGTAAACAGACCTTTCCTCTCCTGCCTCACAGGGAAGCATCCGTCTAAAACCACCTTAATTGCCTCCCCCTCCCCAGCTCCATGGGCAGCTGCCCTCATCCTCAGCTCCCTCCTCTTGTAGCAGAGACATTCCTCCTAGTTCGTGCTTTCTCTCTGTCTCTTCTCTGGATTCATCCCCGCTGCCCCTTTATCCTGCTTCTCAGGGAACTCACAGCTCTTATACCTTCAAACGCTTATCAACTATGTGATCCCTTTGCCCTTAGTATCTAAGCATCCTTAACTCTTCCCCCCCTTTGCCTCATGCCCTTCTCACCTATTGCTCTTTCTCCTCTTCTAGCCATAGCTAAGCTTCATCCAAGGGTTGCCTATGCATACTGTCTTCACTTTCTTTTTTTGCATGTATTCCTCAGCCTACTCCAGTTTGGCTTTCTCCCTATCACTTCACGGACATCATGTTTACAACCGCCTAGTTGCGAAAGTAGCTGGCAGTTTTCTGTCCTTATCTTAGCTAACTTCTTGTCAGCATTTGATGAGTACTATATTGCTCCCTCCCAGAAATGTTCTCTTAATTTCTGTGACAGTCTTCCCCACTTTTCCAAAACAATTTCATCCTTTTTCACAGCTCTTAAATTTGTTTGTGTGGTAGACTGAATAATGGCCCCCAAAGATGTCCATTCTAACCCCCTGAACCTGTGAATGTTACTCCATTTGCAGATGTGACCTTGAGATGGGAGATTATCCTGGATTACCCAGGAGTGCCCTCTGTAGTACCAAGGTCTTTATGAGAGGGGCATAGGAGGAGTCAGAATGAAAAGGAAATGATGTGATGACGGAAACAGGGAGAAAAGGTGTCATGCAGGACTATGAGCCCTGCTAAAGCAAGATTACCTAGCAAGACCATAATTTAGAATGGAAGAAAAAATAAAGAGCTTCCCAGACAAAAAACTGAAGACGTTCATCACTGCCAAACCAATATTATAAGAAACTAGAGGCCCAGTGCACAAATTCTTGTACCAGTATGGTCCCTTGGCCTGGCCTGTAAGATCAGGCCAAAACCGGCTCTCCGACATCCCCCGAGGGGTCCCGGATTTTGAGAGGGAGCAGGTCAGGCCAAGGGACCCCACTGGTGCACGATCGGGACCAGGGGAGGGACTGTGGGAGGGCTCCAGGGTATGTCTGGCCCTACTCGCTCAATCCCTATCAGCTGGACCCCAGCAACAAGCTAACCTACCAGTCAGAGCATCTGCCCCCTAGTGGTCAGTACACATCATAGCAACTGGTCGACTGGTTGTCTTCCCCCTGGTGGTCTGTGCATGTCATAACAAGTGGTTGAGCAGCCTTAGTATTCATTAGCATATTACACTTCGATTGGTTGAACAGCTGACTGGTCAACTGGACACTTAGCATAGTAGGCTTTTATTATATAGGATGTTAAAGTGGCTTCTTTAAGAAGAAGAAAAAAATAAAAAATATTGCTAAGAAAAAAATTCTCACTGACAAAGGCAAACACATAATAAAAACAATGAGTCAACCAACACTAAGGCCAGTAGAAAGGCTAAAAGGCAAAAGTAGGAAAGGAAGATCATGTGTAATTACAACAGCAAGTTAAGGGATACACACAAACACACAAGAAAAACATAAACATAAATGTGCAGGGGGTGAATAAAAATGGTAGTAATTCTAGAGTGTGTTCAAACTTAAGCAACTATCAACTTAAAATAGACTACTTATAAACATAGCTTGGTATATATGAAGCACATGGTAACCACAACCAAAATCTACAAGAAATAAAGAGAAAGGAATCCAAACAACACTCCAGAAAGTCATCAACAAGAGAAAAGAGCAGGAGAATAAGAAAGGAACATAGCCCTAGCCAGTTTGGCTCAGTGGATAGAGTGTCAGCCTGCAGACTGCAGAGTCCCGGATTCAATTCTGGTTAAGGGCACATGCCCATGTTGCAGGCTCAGTCCCTAATAGGGGGCATGCAGGAGGCAGCCAATCAATGATTCTCATCATTGATGTTTCTATATCTCCCTCTCCCTTCCTTTCTGAAATCAATAAAAAAATATTTTTTTAAAAGAAAAGAACTACAAAAAAAATCAAACAATCAGAAAACAATAAAATGGCAATAACTACATACTTATAAAGAATTACTTTAAGGACAAAATGCTCTAATCAAAAGATGAATGAATAGCTCTTTCTGCTGCTGTTTTGGTTCTGCATATATGTTCACCACACCAAGTGCCTGGTAAAGCTACCACCAGACCAATATTACATGAAATGTTTAAAGGGCTTCTTTAAGAAGAAGAAAGAGATTAAAAATATGAATAGTAAAATGGCAATAACTACAGACCTACCAATAATTACTTTAAATGTAAATAAGTTAAATGCTCCAGTCAAAAGACATAGGGTGGCTGAATGGAGAAGAAAACAAGAACCATACATTTGCTGCCTATAAGAGATGTAGATCAGATCAAAATACAGATACAGAAGAAAGCAAAGGGATGAAAAAAGATATTTCATGCAAATGGAAATGAAAAAAAAAAAGGTAGGGGCAGCAATACTTATATTAGACAAAGTAGACTTTAAAACAAAGGCTAACAAAAGACAAAGGACATTTCATATATTATAGCCAAGATATGGAAGCAACCTAAGTGTCTATCAATAGACAATTGGGTAAAGAAGACGTAGTACATATATGACCAGACGTCCTTCCATTCATCCTTCCGATGACCTTCCAGATGAAGCCAGGGCTGTGAGAGCTGAGGCAAGCCGCCACACCTGCAAGGGCCACGCTCCTTGCACGAATTTCGCAAGATATATTCAAAAGATATACATATCTTTCCTTGATTTTTTCCTTTCCCTCCATTTGTGTAGCTCATCGGTCACTAAATTTTGTTGCACACTTCCTAAATCTCTCTTCAGTTTGTCTGTTCCTCTGCAGACTCCAGCTATTTCCCTGACTCAGGCCACCATCATCTCATGCCTGCAGCATGCCGAAGATGTCCTATCTGGAATCTCACTTTCCATAGCTATGCAATGATCTGACCGTGTCAGTTGCATGTATAAACCCAGGACTTGAGGTCAACTCTAACCTGCTGACCTTTCCAGTTTTATCTCTCATCCCTCTCCTCACAGTCCTAGGACATCCTGAACTATTTTCTTTCACTCTGAGGCCTTTTCATTTGTCCTTCCATTTCTTGCCTGCTTCCTAGTTTTGCTAATTTTAAAGATGAGACCTGAATGGGTGGGTGTTATTGTTATCAAAACCTCACAAGTTTGGATTGGGTGCCCTTCCCCCTTCCTGTATATTCTCATAGCACCCCATACTTGCTGTCTGGCTTTCCCACTAGACTGTAAGCTCCATGGAGACAGGAACACATCTGTTTCATTGGTGTATTTTCCAGTGCCTAGCATTGTACTTGATACTTAGTAGCATCCAACATGCATTTTGAGTGAATGAACGAACGAACGGTTGAGTAAATATACATCTATCAGCACTGCCAGAAAACCAAGCTCCAGTGAATTCATTAGTATATGGTGAATTACTGGTCGCTATGTCAAACCCTTACTTGATAAATTGCTATACAGGCTACAACTCCAGCCAAGGGCGTTAAAATAATTTCTAAACAGCAGACATCTATCCATGAAAATATGGAGAAGCTGCTAATGGTGTGGTTAATGGAGAACCCCCCAGTTCTGAGGAATTCTTAGCAAACTATATTTGTATCCATGGTGTGTGCTTTCCTCCTTCCCCCAGTCACCTTTTAGGGATTTAACCCACAATATCACGTAGTACCCTTATGTTTTTAGGTTTTGGGGAAAACTAATAGTAAGTTCATAAAAACTTGAGAGCTGAAAGAGATTAACCAAAGAATTTGTAATCCTCTCAACAATAAAATAAAATAAAAATTTAAAAACCTTAAGGAGCTGAAACCGGTTTGGCTCAGTGGCTAGAGCGTCGGCCTGCGGACTGAAGGTCCCAGGTTCGATTCCGGTCAAGGGCATGTACCTGGGTTGTGGGCACATCCC